TTATTATTTTCAGATAATATATGAAAAATGTCAAGCACCTTGTCTACAACCGAGTTGAGAACAATGCCTAGAAGACCATCCTCCAACCTCAAAACGGAAGATCCACAACCCAGATTGGTCCGAGCAGCATCGATAGAAAAGATCAAGAGGTTCAACTCTTTCATCTGCTCCCAACATTACTACATACTACCAGCCATTTTGAGCTGGCTCAAGTCGTCTCAGCCAAATCTGCAGACATCTACCGAAAGTACAATCCTAATATTCAGATCCATGATTTTCAACACTTTTTTCTACAAAATGTTCTTCAATTCCCGGACTCACGATGTATTCAGCAAGGTTAAGCCTGAGGTCATTGCTAAGAACATCGTATCCAGCGTTATTGCGAATTTCCATAAGAAGTTTTCCAAATGCTTCGAGTCAACATTTCTCTTGACAATTTCAGTGTATTCAGCTTGTGCAGTGGTTATGGGACAACTCATTTTTTCGCTTTATTTAATTTATTCTACCTATTTACCTTACGGAATGGTGTTTCTAATGGTTTGTATGATGACCATAAAATACATTTGCTTCAAGACAATGTCTTACATCATTCATAAATGTGACGTGAGGGATGAGTGAAATGTGATTTCAATAGAGGTATCACTTATATTAAGTGAAATTTGATAGCTCATCGGAGAGGGGTGATTTTTTATTGGAAAAATGGTATTTATCCCTTCTGTAGAGAATTGTGATTAATTGAATGATCTATAATATATCTCTACTTCATAACATCTGTACTGCGTTTACTTAATTGATTCAGGGTGTCTTTTAGCCTGTAGTTTTTGTATATTAAGTTTAAAAAATGAAAATCCTTCACTGGTATCGATATACCTATTGTGAGTAGAAGCGAGAGAGATTGTTAACTGAATATTTTGAATGAAATATTAAATGTTTTGTTTCTGTGATAATACCGAATTTGGATAAATTTCTTTTCAGATGCTTATGCATAGGATGTGTGTTAAAGCAACCATTTTAATGATAAGAGACAAATTACTTTTTTTGCATTATAGACTGATGTGCCATTTAGAATATTTTCCGAAATGTGTATTTTGAAAAGATGATTACTGTACATAGTTCCTGAAAATAAAAACTATCTGTGTCGTTCTATCTTTCAATTCATTGCCAAATATACACTGTGTCCAAGATAAGAATGAACAACATGGGGATATCGAAAACGGTAAGTGATACAAGGTCGAGAAAAGTAGCGCATTTATGTGCCTAATAATATGCCATTTAGAAAGTTTTAATATTTCGAGTAGTTTCGTAGATATCCGAGAAATAGTAAAATTTGAGAATTTGGTTTTTATTTTCTCCTAGCTTCATTTTCGAAGGAAATGTAAAACAAATAGCACTTTGCCATGGCCACTTTTTAAGGAAAATACGATAACGTAAGCGACGTTTCGTCTTTTAGAAAACATCAACTTTGTATTTTTTATGTCAGCTGAAACTAAAGTATAACCTGTCCACGACTCCATTTTTTATTGTGAATACAGCAACGTATCATACAGTATAATTTCATAACCATTTCTCGCGGAAAATACTTTAGTTTCGGCCTATATAAAAATACAAAGTTGATGATTTTTTCTAAAAGACGAAACGTAACAGACTTTGTGCTTTGCCACACCAAAGTGCTATTTATTTTAAAATTTCTTTGAAAATAAAGCTAGGACAAAATAAAAAATGAAATTCTCAAATTTCAGTTTTTCCCGGACATCTACAAAACTACTCGGAATATTAAAACTTTCTAAATGGCATATTATTAGGCACATAAATGCGCTACTTTTCTCAAATTCAGTCACCGTTCATTCTTATCTTGAACACAGTGTATTAATATTAGTTCGAACTTGTTGAGACTGGTTCAACTTACAATATTATTTGTCTTTATTCGTTTTTGGAGTTCACAAAGGACCCGACACGGGAAAAAACAATACAGTGCTTCAACCGCATTGTGAAAAATTCGTTGTTATACAAGGGTCAAAATATTTGCTGGTTTCCCCTCGCTGGGTGTGTTTCTTGTGCTCGGCAATGCGAACATCATGAAACATTGTCAATCACCTTCAAACAAACGTTCAACTAGATAACCATAGCATATTGTTTAGAAAACTAAAGTATTGCCTATTTATAGGTTTATTGGGTCATCATTTACGGTGATTAAATGGTCTATTGCGTTTTAAAAAGAAATTTCGTTGTATTGAAGCGAGAAATACCGTCTGTTCAGAAATATAAATATTTTTTCTGGCAAATCTACAGTAAACACTGTGCAATTGACTCATTTGCATTTTTAGGCAATATGCATCGAAATGAAAAAAAAACTCAATAGAAACACTGAATAAATCGTAAGTGGTAGTTAGTAGTTATTGAGCACCCATTGAATTACTTATTATCTCAGTGGAACCCTTCATATGATTTTAATGGCACTTATCATTAAGAAAAACACATCTACGACTCGTGTACGAGATAAAACTTTTGCTCCTAATGAATTCTTCATGAACCTCCAAGGTTTTCACAAATTTAATTGAGGTGATTTGACACAATATCGTATTCAATAAAGTGAGGAGTCGTTACAATAAACAAAAGGTCATTAATATCATTATCGATATTATAATATTGACACCATTAAAGATGAATTAATGTACCAGAAGTTTGACGTCAATTCAGCCATTATATTTAGTTACTTGTTCTAAGTATTTGTTACGCAATTCCACTATTCTTTTGTTTTCCATAACTGCTTGACGTTTGTTTATTATTTTAAATCTTACAGTCGTATATTTGTTTTTTCAATGATTTTATGAACATCTAAAGGGTTTGGTAATCCTCTATCAAATCGCGTCTTTCGTTCATAAGGTTTTGACTATTTTACGTACAGTTGAGAAAGGAATTTCGGTCAAACCCGATGTTGCTGGTAATAGTTTGTTTCCCTCGAAACCAAACTTGAGATGTAGATTCTTATATACACACATCGGAAAAGTCTAGGGATATTTTTAAAAATGGCAATAATGTTTTTTTAGATCGCTTTAGGGAAAAAAAAGTTGACGGGTGATTATTAAACGAATGTAACTTACAACAAAATTTATTAAATGGTCAAAAATACTGAGTGCGCATATAAGCAAAACTAAAAAAAAAATATGGCTCTTCTTTGGCACCCCGAAAAAAAAGCATAATACAAAAAAAATTGGAATCAGTACAAAGTATGGCCTCCACGCTGGTTTATTACGGCCCTACATCTATCGTGCATCGACAAAATGAGATTGTCAATGTCTTGTTGAGGTACATTTGCCCTTTCAGCGATTAAAAGCTCTCTCAATTGAAACGTTGTGTGAATGTTCCCCATATGCGGAGTAATTCTTCGTTGAAGCATGTCCCACACATGCTCGATAGGATTCAGGTCCGGTGATTGTGCTGGCCATGGCAATACATCAACTCCTTCGTTGGTGAGCCAGTCAGTCACTAGACGCGCGAAATGTGGACGAGCATTATCATGCATTAGGTGGAAGTTTTCACCAACAGCACCAGCAAACGGACGGACGATAGGTAGAAGAATGGTGTCGAGGTACTGTCGAGCTGTGAGGGAGCGATTTGGAAAAACGAGATCGGTTCTGCCGCCGATCATGATTTCGCCCCATAGCATTACTGTACCACCTCTGTATGTGTGGACTTCCTGGACGTGTCTCAAACGTTCATTATTTCCAGGTCGTCTCCACAGTCTTACTCGACGAGAATCTGGATGAAATCCAAATCTGGATTCGTCTGTAAACAAAACTGTGGCCCAATCATTTGCATCCTAGTTTTGATGTTCTTGACACCACTCTTTGAATCTTCTACCGCGATTGCCTCTCGACAAAGGTGGACATCTAAGTGGCCTTCTGTTGTGGAGATCTGCTTCATGCAGTCGATTTCTGACAGTATCACGACCAATGGTTACCTGGTGCGTCTGCTGCAACACGTTAACCAACTCAGGTGCTGTGATTGTCGGTTGTCTTCTTGCGGTTAAGACCAAAAATCGGTCTTGAACTGCAGTTGTAGCGCGTCCTCGCCCTGGATGTTGTTCGGCTGGACTGCCAGTTTCACGGAAACGCCGCCACAATCGACTGATAACACTTTGGGAGACCCCCAAACGAAGAGCTACATCATTTTGTCGCATGCCACCTTGAAGAAGCCCTACAGCTCTATTCATCTCAGCCAATGGTAAGTGATGGCGTTCCATGTTAAAGCACAATATTTCCAGTTTAATTGCTGAGCAAGAACTGCATAGAATGTACAAACTCGACACTTTCAGATTATTCATTTTAGCCGAAAACCTACAGTTTGTAAAAAACTTGATAAAAGATTAGTTACCGTTTTTGCAGGCTTTGTTCAACCCATAGAAATCTACAGGGTGGTCGAGTGTACCAATTTAATCGAAATTAAACCACCTCATGCATTTATTTTTATGATATTTAGTATGTTATAAAAATATCCCTAGACTTTTCCGATGTGTGTACATTGAAACATACTCTCTATGTTTCAATATTCGAATGCATTCGAATCTTATTCACTGGTATTTCTTTTTTGCATTGTTCACCATCGCTATTGGAATCACTACATTGGAAAAAGTCTGCGTTGTTATCACACTCGTTACTACTATTAGTACTTGTTCAAGGACGCCACATTTTACACAGATAAAACAAAAATTTCAAGTAATTATAACTACACCAATATCGAATTTCAACACTCGAATCGCGATCAGTTCCTGAACTGAACACGACGGCGACAACCATCCCCGATTCCTCGATTTCTATTCGTCACCGTGCACTTTAACAGTGCACTATATCGTTTACTTCGACTATATCACCGTTTTCGAGACGGTAATAGTGGGACCAGCTGAAAAAAGGGCCTATATAGCTCAAAATCGATAACCCCATCTACAATATCTTCATCTTTCAATAGCATTTGTGCCCATGGTGATTTATTCTTCATTAACCTTCATAGCATTATTAGAATTGCTAACGTGTACTTGAAGTAGGTAATTAGAATTAGTTTTTTTTTGTTCATTTTATTTTTCGTTTATGGTTAAGTATTGTGAAAAAAATGTTATATTGTCCTGTAAATGGATAACTGTTGGACAATAAAGCTATTATTATTATTATCTTGATATCGTAGGCAGATACCACTGACTGCAAAACTAAATTAAATTCCATATGTAGTTATCAAGCAGTGTCTAGTCTTAAAATATTCTGAGAGCCCAGAATCGTAATTCTCCTTATAACAAACAAAAATTTTTCAAACTAATTTTCATGATGAAAATTTCATACATTAGGTGAATGAATGTATAATTTTGGACTTCGAGCTTCTTATGACCTTAAAGAAAAAGGAGATGATCTCTGTACAATCTGTGTTTACCATTTCATCAGAAGATATTGATATTACTTCATATCATGACTTGAACAGTTGATGGTTGTGAAGATTAGAATGTAATTTATGAACTTTCCGGTAATTTTTAGGCAGACAGAGCAATAAATATATTATTTAAGGTGTTCTCTAAAATGTAAAGTTCACTCATCAACGATTGTTCACTATCGATGTTAGTGAATCACTTTGGATTATTTAGCACAAGTGTTTCGGTAAGTTTTTTGAACTCAATGATCGTCTAGTAAATTTTCACGTTTTGTCAATGATATCTACATCACCTTCATTATAAAATTATTTCTTATTGGTAAATTTTTTGGAAAATTCATCGGTCAGGTAAAGTAAAAAATTATCATGAAACACGGCTCAGCTTATCATCTTTTAATTTTATATTTTTTTCTCTATGAGAAACTGNTAGAAACGAACAAACCAACAAGAATGTGAGATCAGAGGAATGCGCTTGTGTTTGCGGATTCATTAGGAAAGTTCGTCATCGAGATGCAGGCAAAATGGAGAAGAATGCAGCTCGTAGAGAAAATACCCCCACTGAAGCAGGGAACGATTCGTCGAACATTTTACTGTCGAGTAGTACGTCAAATGGTGAGAATAATTTTGAATTATACAGTAATTGATATTTATTTCACGGGACCGTATCACGACGGCATAGATAGATAACTCTTTGGACTATCACTCTGCTAGAAAAGCATACTTTGCAC